TGTGGTTTCAACAAGACGGTGCCACATGCCACGCAGCCAGCATAACAATGGACTTATTGAGAGGCGAGTTCGGTGCGCATTTGATTTCACGTTCTGAGACCGGTCGATTGGCCGCTTAGATTGTACGATTTAACGCCTTTAGACTATTTTTTGTGGGACTATTTTTAATCGAACGTCTAGACAGACAAGCCCGCTTCCACTGAAGCGCAGTTACGGTCAACATTTCTATGAAATAATCTTCAAACATTAAATTATATGGAACCGAATTATCGATTCAAATTAAGATTTCATGCGTTTTTCTGAATTTTATGTGTTTTTTTTATTTTTTGTAAATTTCCTATAGCTCTTAAAAAATCACCCTTTACATACACATATATTTACGCACTTACTTTACTAAGCAACACTTTTAATTCGCTATGGCATTCTTTTAAGATTTTAATTATTTCCTCTTGCACCGATTTTTCTAAAATTACGGTTATGTAACGGTGAAAAACAAATATGTGTAGTAGAATAAAAAAATATTAAAGCAAATGTTATTTTTACTGAAATTAGAGCTACCAAATTCTGACTTCCACTGAACACATTATGATATGGAAAAGTATAGAAAATTAAATGCTTTGACGTCAGACGCAGTTACGGAAATTTTGTTTTGATATTAAGAAATAAATTCAGTAGTTATAATTAAAATTTATTTCTATATCGCACTGTATGCTAGCTAAATCATAAAATACAGGGTGCTCCATCTCTAAGCGCTGAATAGCTTTCAGCTTTACCAACCGAGCGATTGCATCAGATTGGTTTTGGAAACGTCAATTCGGTACAATTTTTGCCATGGATCGCTTCACATCGAAACAATGCGCTGAAATAGGGACACTCTACATCGAAAACAGTCGTTAGTCATTGTGCATATCGGAAAAATATCACGGCAAAAAGGCGCCACCTGACAGATCACCTGATTCAACTTCCCCGGACTTCTTTTTGTGGGGTCAGCAGAAAAGCAAGGTTTACAAAACTTACGCCAACCAGCCTCAAACTATTAATGAGCTCAAGGCAAACATTCGTGCTGAAATCGACGCTATAAAAAGCGAGGTGCTCGGAGAGGTTATGGCAAACGTAGAAAAAATGAGTCGTTTTGTAATTGCTAATAAAAGTAGCCACTTGAGTGATATTGTTTTCAAAAACTAGTCCGAAAAATTGTAAGGAACCAAGCTGAATAAAAAGTTACTCAATGTTTACATACCGACATAAAAGATGGAGCACCCTGTATATTTCAAAATTTTCCAAATTAATTTAGTAGACAATTCATTATCAATAAAGCTGTCTTTCACACAAACTTCATGATATACATACACACATACATATATGTAGTATTCTGAATCCGAAAGCAATAAAACAAAAATATAATTTCCACTAACTTTCTATGCTTTGCAACAAATTCTAATTAAAATAATAAAATTTAAAAATAAATCATATTTGTATAGCTTTAAGGCAAAATCGGAATTGGTATACTTTACAAAACTATATGAAAGAGAAAAAAAAATATTTGGTTGAAAACTTTCCTGCGCTCGAAATGAAAAAGTACTGTTTTTTATACCAAATAATATTTTTTTTTATTTAACATATTCTCCCATAACTTCAATACACTTATTTTAATGTTTTTACCATAATTTTTTTCCCATCCTTAAAATAACTTTCCGGAAGCTCCGCAAAATATCATTCGACAAAAAGCGCTTTCCACGAAGAAATTGACAACGTAGACAATGTTGGACTTTTTTTGGTGAGGCTAAGTGAAATTCGTGCTTATGCAATAAACCTTTAACTCTGGCGCACTTACAAATACCAAAAGTGATTAAGTTATGGCAAATATACCGTCCAAAATGTGCCCTGATGTTTCTTATATACTAAAAAAGTAAGATTTCAGCTTTGTGATGAAAAAGGAATTTATGAAAAATAAATCTCTTTTAAATTTACTTTATTTGTGTCAAGCGGTAATCTTGAAAAGAATTTGCCATGTTTCTTGTACATTTTTTTTTTTTGTTCAATAAACCACAACAACTGCAACGTGATGAGCTGTATTTTTCAAACGCTTTTAAGCCTTTTTTGCCTACAAAGCGGCAACTAAAGTTACAACGCATTTATAATTAAAACCATTTCCGTTGAAAAGAGAAATGTGGATGTGAAATGATAGCAAAAAGGAGAAAAAAAAACTTTATCTGAAAAAATTAAAAATGTTTAATTATATTATTGTATTTTTTTTTTTTTAAATTATATAATATAATATATAACTGCACTGCACTGTGGATTAGGTTAGTTATGATAACCGCTGTACATAATCGAGGTGGATAAGTAAAGTGTGTAAGGGGCTGTAGTCAAGCTTCTGCTTATGCAGTTACAGTTGCGAGGCTTGCGTCCACGTCGCACACCCTGAAAACGTGAGCAACAACCCGTGTAAAACCTTGGCTCCCGGCTAATAAGAGGAAGCTTCAGTGGAGCCACTGCGACTTACTCGAATTAAGGATGCGCTGAAGTTATTGCAGCGTCTGTTCACCAAAGGTGCGGCTGCGAGCGAGCGACGGTCTTAAAGCAAGCGGTTCGTTATTTAAATGTGTAAAAACTATAAACTTACTCGCCTAGTGAGGTTATGCACTGGTCTTGGGACCCGCTACGTAGCAAAAAGCTCCAATGAATAATTCAACTACGTCTCGTTCTCAACCCTCCTCTCTGTTGACGACATTCGTGAACGAATTAAGGATCACGATTTGATGGCATGCACCTGGGTTAATGTCCTCGCTAAACTAAATGCTGACATCACCACCGTCCAAGAGGTGCGATGGGCGGGACAAGGACGAAAGCGAGTGGGTTCTTTGTGACATCTACTACAGTGGACATATAAAGGAGCACAAATTTAATGTCGGTTATGTGATAAGAGAGAGGCACCGTCGTCGAGTACTGGCATTCGCACCGGTGCATAAATGTATCGCTGCAATTTTCTAAGACATCCTTAATTTGCGCCCACTCCAATTGCATGTGCAACGATTTCACCGCCTTTAAAAATTATTTATATGTGATTCCAAAGATTCCTAACAGGACATTTTTCCGTAAAGAACAACCAAAATCTTCCACTGATGACCTCACTGTAGCTCTGGTGAAGTCCAAAATTGACGCAGATCCACGATTGATGCAAGAAATGAAATATCGCGAATATCTAGTAATCTTCTGGGATACACGAAGAAACCTGTGCGATGGGTGTCACGAATTTTAAATGAGGCCCAAAAAGAGGCACTCCATTTTCTTAAATTTTTCCTTAATAAATTCAAAAATGGTCAGTCCCGCAACTTTGGTAAAGTCATTACTGGTGACGAATCTTGGTTCCATAAGTACGATCCAGAAACCAAACCGTCCAGTCTATGGTATAAGCTGCATAAGTAATGATGTCAGTTTACTTCACCCGATCTAAAATCGTAGCTGATATTCCACTAGATTGTGCACCACCTGATAGAAGTTATACTGATGTGGAATAATAATTGAGAGTCGACGGAGAACCAAAAAAAGCCGTATTGAGAAGAAATGCCTAGCGACGGTTGTACAGGGTCAAATAAACTGCATCAGAGGTAAAGGTTTCGCGCATAGCAAATGCAGGCACTAGAGGTAGCCCACAAAGGAGAGATTCCTCGCCTCTTCTGTGGTATCGCACACTCAACAAACAGTGAATGCGGCCTGGATGTAATTCCTTCAAAAACTGAACTGGAACTCTTCACTAGAAGGTGTAATCCTTTTGCTTCTAAGCTACACATACTCAAAGGCAACGAGATTGCTCTTTCTACTGAGTTTCAACTCAAAGGGGTAATCTGAGATAGCAGACTTACGTGAAACTTGAAAACTCATTACAGCTGCGCTTCTCTCAACTCTTGCGAAATACCTTCGAATTCTGCTTAACCTACTACCGGCGGACCTGTATCAAAATTAAAGCTTCATGCGAGCTGTAACGCCATAAGACTAAATGCAATGAACCTTTTTAGACTGAGGTTTATCACACCAATTCCGTTCTCAACCAAAATCCCAGAGAGGAACAAATGCCGTATGTTGTTGTTTTGGATCACTGAAACGTAGCGATCTTGACCGGCCCCTCTAAACTATGTATAGGTTGTGGAGCCTCTTGCCATAACATTAAGTAAGAGTCTTCCCTACCGATGCAGCGTTTCCTAAGCGTAACCCAACCTGTTACAATATCCAACGCAATCACACCACCTCACGTCTGTGGTTTCGGTTCCTATTCACAGCGACATTCCAGGGAACTGCGTAGTCAACGAACTGGTCAAAAAGGGAATAGTCAAAATCACGCTAAATTCTGCACAGGGCGTGGACAAACCACTTCACCAGGAGAGGCAACATCTGCTGACAGTGGGAAATCACAAGCAATGTGACAAGACAAATCTGATCATAAACCGCGGTAAACAGAACTAAGTCTCTACTCGATCCAAACCGGTTGGAACACAACCTCTGTCATTGCATAATTCTCACATCGGTCTATTATCGTAAGCAGGACCAGCATAGGTAGGTCAAGCGCACTTGATCAGGCTTCCATGACTAAGATACTCCCTGATGTGTTCCGAAAGAGTTGTACCCGTATGAATCGTGCATGACTACTTTGACTGGTATGAAGTTTCGAAAACAAAAGTTTCGAAAACAAAAAAGACGCAACTCACGAGAAGATGAGGTGGAATCTCTAACAAAAAAGGCATCACTCCCTGGGGAGCCTTTTCAATATCAGATTTTCACGTTCTTACTAAACAAAAAACACCTTCGTTATTATTGCCTTAGAAACTTGACACAAACTTTAGGACCTCGGTCACCACAGTGTCCTCAAGCTTAAAATCACGCATAATTTTTCAAGACTAGCGGTAAGCCCCAGCGTTGGCAATATCAGCTATTAGATCGCTTTTTTCAACTTTTAATTTTTAAATATATTTGAATTTATTTTCTATTACTCTTAGTTCTATTCTTATTACATTCAAAGAAATAGTTCATTAATTTCCTAACCGAAAACCTCATAAAATATATTTTATTTGCTAATTTATAATTTAGGAATCATACTAAAGCTAAGTAAGTTTTATTTAAAAATACAATAATTTCTACATGCAGTTCGTACAATGAATTGAATTTTTTTACACAACTTAAACATAAATAGATATATTTCTACAACAAGAGAGCACACCAATCGCCTACAAGCAGCCATTGCCCCAACAACCACACCAGGGTATCTTACCGCCCGTATGTGAGCTTATGGAAATCTTACGACGATGCGAACGCAAACTAAACGTAGTCGATGACTCTCGTGACGATGCCGAACTATTCGAGCCGTGCTCCGACAACGATGTACTATCCTGATGCGAATGACGGCTATGATGTAGATTATTGCTCAACATCGATGAGGTATGCTGGTGATGATGATGATGGTGATGATGATGACCGGATGTGCTGCTGACGCGTTGTTGTGCATTACTCGCAACGGTGCCATCAGAGTGACGACGTGAGCAACGTGAACGGCCCGGAACAGCATCAGCCGCTGCTAACTCACCGCCATTCGTGCGCGTCGAGTCTTGACTGGATTTACGTTGATGCGCTGCGGCAATATTACTACAACTACTGTTCGTGTGACGATGATGCACGTTGACAACGTGCCTGGGTGACGTATTAGCAGATAGCGATTGTGGGTGAGTTGCATCAACGGCGCTATTATTCGGGCTCATTGTGTTGCTGTTGCTACGACGACGCACGGAATGTGGTGAGTTGGGAGTGCTGTGACTGGATTGCTTGAGATTTCGCAATGCGGGATTAACCAAAGCCGATGGTAAATCTGTGCAGCTGCCAACGGCCTGGTGAGTCGTCGCGTTTGTTGTAGTGGAATTTATGGTGTTTGTGGTGTTTGTGGCGTCCTGCATATCGCTTAAATTTATTTGTGCTTGAGATCGTATTAAGTGTGTATTTGTCACCGTATCCGGTGAATCAGGTGTACTGGAATCACCGCAAACGATTGAAACACGTCGCGCTTTTCGGCGCGCCACCTCACTAGCGAGTGCCTGAAGTAGAAATATGTGTTACTCAAATAATTTGTTCTATTTTTTCCATAATTTAATATTTTGTTATAAAACCCCTCACTCACCTCGTTCGCCGCATCAATGGCTTGCGTTTCATTCATCTCTGCAACGCCAACCGCTGTCAACTCGCCGTCCAACGAATGCGTCGCTTTAGCACGATATTGTGCTCGTTTAGCCGCCGCATTCGCTATTGCTGTATACAATTGACTCTTGTTAGGCGCTAGTCCCGTGCTCACCGGCGAATTAGCGGCTTGCGGTCCAGCCTGTTGCTGTTGCTCCTCCGTAGGCGGTTGTGGTATCGACACAGGTGTTGGACGTGCCATACCTGCGCAGCGTGTATTCAATGGCGATGGAAATCCGCGGGCAGGTGGTGTTGGTGGCTGGGTCTTGCCGACAGCTGCACTTGACACCGGCGGCAAAGGTGGCCTTTGCATGTTGGCTACACTTGTAGGCGGTAATGCCTGGATCGCCTCGTTGTTTAGCTGATCGAAGCCAATGTAGGTACGTTTATCTGGGAAGGGTAACATCGCGTCGGGTATGTGCGGAGATGGACTGTCGGTATGATCGCGCTCCAGTGAACGAGTGCAGCGTCCGTTGCCATTGCCACTGCTATTGAATGATGTTTGAGTTGCAGTCGCAGCGACGCTGGTTGCGTTAGAGGAGGCGGTGTCTTCATTTGCGCCATTATACTGTAGTGTTAAGTTCATTTCTGAGCGGTAGGGCTTCTTTGATTTATCGCACTGTTCCAGAAGTTTCTTATTACTGTTATCATTCTCTCTACGCTTGTCCAACTGTATCGCTAATATATCCTCCGATATCGCTTGGATATCATTGAGTATTGTTTCAAGGTTAACAGATTCCGTCTGGCGGATAAAATAAAAAAAGGATTAGCCATTATGAGTATCTACTAAAATCACAGCAAATGTGTAAAGTAAATGAATTACATTGAATCATTTGTATGAAAGCACTTGGCAAGCATAAGAGGGATAGTCAAGCGGGATTAGTTAGATTAGATTAGGTTAGGTTTTAAATTAAGCAGGTGCTTGGTAACAAAGTTGAAAAGCAATTAAGCATTTTGGGCGATCTGGCTATATATTTTCTTTAATAACATAAAATCAGTTTAAAAATTTATTTTATTATTTTTTTATATATTTCTTCTTTGTGATTCTTTACTTTATTTTTTTATTTTATTTTACTTTACACTATCTAAATTAATTTTATAATCTATTTTATTATTTTTTTTTTTTAATTTTTTTTCTATTATTTGTTGGGTTTTTTAATTTTTTTTTTATTATTTTATTTTATTTTACTTAATTTATTTCATTCATTTTACTTTATTATATTTCGGTTTTTTTCTTTTATTTTATTTATTTTATTTATTTTACATTGTTTTATATTTTTAAATTAAAATTTTTTTATTTTATTTTACTTTTATTTAATTTAATTTATTTTATATTTTTTTATTTTATTTTATTTTATTTTATTTTTTTTTTATTTTATTTTATTTTATTTTATTTGTTATTATTTTTTTATTTAATTTTTTTTTTTATTTATTTTGATTTAATTTGATTTTACTTGTTTTTATTTTAATTTTTTGGTTTGTTTTGTATTTTATTTTATTTTTATTTCTGTTATTATTTTATTTTGTTGCTTTATTTATTTTTTTATTGTTGTCGTTGTTGTGCTTCCAAAACAACTGTGCACTTCAAATTAAATATATATATATATATGTTTACATATATAAAAGCGCAGCTGAAGGCCGAGAGTCGAAAAAAATTATATATATGTAGATACAAACTCTGCTACCGCAACTACACGTTGGTTGTGTCTACTTCTACCCACTACATACACACATACACTCAACAGCCAAAGCAATTTAATCGACTATTTTTGGGATTGCCTAAAGGGATGGACCGCATTCACCTGGCATTCACCATCCACAAGATTTGCTTTTGACGATGTACTTGATACAGACTGTGATAACGGTGAATGTGCCGGTGTTGCAGTGGCACTGCTCATATTCGACGTTGTTGGTGTTAAACGATTGTTAGTGTTAATAGCGATCGCCATGAGAGGCTTTGTGAGAGCCGGTGAAATTAAAAGATTTTTACAGCGTTTTTGTGCGGTAGCATAAATCGGTTCACACAATTTTGTTGCAACAGCATTTGGTTGCGCAACAAAAACAGTCGGCATTGCGGCTAGCAATTGTAACGAAGGCAATGTTGGACCAGCCAAAAGCGACGGCACCCGCCGCAGTGATGGCGTCTTAATTAATGCCGCTGACGTCGTAGCGGAAGCGTTTAATGCAGTATCGACAGCAGCAGTTGCAGCATCAGTACCGCAGGCGGCAACAGTATCAGCACCGGCGGCAACCTCATCAGCATCATCCGTGGTCACTGTGATGGTGACCACCGATTGTGGCAATGCTGCAGGCATTGACTGCAGTTGTACGTGTTCGTATTCATGCTCGAGTTGTTGTTGCTGTTGCGAAAGTCGCTGGTGCTGCTGCTGGTGCTGATGCGTGTACTGATGCGGATGCAAATGTTGATGGTTCTGCTGCCGCACTTGCTGATATTGGTGATGTTGTTGGTGATGTGCGCGTGCGCGGTGTTGTGGACTTACTTGTGAGGAGCTACCGCGTTGTGGAATCGGAGGTGGCACCGCGTTGTCTTCGCCCAATGCCTGACGCTGATAAGGCGAGGCCAAACCGTTGTGCACATAAAGGTCAGGCGGCTCACAATTTTGACAGTTGGCGATTTCAGCATCACTGACAGTGTTAGTAGTTGGTGTGGAATTAGAAGCCGCTGGCTCTCCAGGCACATTAGTGGCGGTAGTCGGAGCTTGATTAGCCAAAGCTGTGTTTAATTTCAGCCGTGGCTTCAGTGGCGCAAAGAAATGCTTTGGACTATTAAGTGTTAGGTTGGCGCTGGCAGGCGTTGTTGTGATCGCCACCGTCTCTATGGCAGTCGTATGCTGTTGTTGCGCACTTGCTGGAGCTCCAGTGTTAAGATTTGTGTGATTTGGTGACACTTCATTGTTTACCGGCGACGCAACAACTGTTGGCACAAATGTGGTTAATAACTGAGGTGGCGCAAGTCGCGATTGTGGCTGCTGGGCGGCGTTCATTGTAAGCGGCGTTGCTATTTGCAAAGCTGGCGGCGATAAGCCCGTGGATATCTTGCGATGAGCAAAGGGCGATTGTAGCTTATAGTCCCAACCATTTGTATGCCGCATAATTTTCGATGAAGGTGAGCTGGTATTAGGCGTATTTCCTATGTGAAGAAGATAGGAAAAAAGAAGTAAAGAAAATTTTATTTATATTTTTTATTTAAACAACCACCTACTCACCTATATTGGAGCCCATGTGATCTTGTAAAACATTCTCGAAGTAAGACAATGGCGGCACAACCGCCTGCAGATCATTCAACTGATTGGCCACCTGTTCGATGGGTGTCAGTGGCGTCAGCGGTCCCACCAAACTGGGCAGAGTCATCTGCGAGCCACCAAGATCATTGGTGTACACATGCAACATCTCATTGTGTGGCACATGCGAATGCAGTTCGGTATTACTCATCGTTTCCTCCGACACCACCGACAAATGATCGAATGCTTGATGTAAATTTGGTGCACTCTCAGAATTCGAACCCACCGACTTAGCCACCAAAGTGGACTTATCTGTGTTATGAGGTGCCAGCGCTGTGGGCGTATCGGGCGCAAACTCAATAATCGGCTGCTTAGTGGCCAATTGGGGGCAACTGCCACCAGTGCAACACTCGTCACTGCATTGGTCATCATTGCCTTTGCAAGTATCACAGGAATCTGAATCCTACAAAGGGCGAAACAGAGAGAGAGAGAGAGAAAGAGAGAGAGAGAAAGAGGGAGATGGTAAGAGGGAAAGCCATCAGTTAAAGTAAAGCATCACTCACATCACTATTGCAAGTACTGTCACAAACGTGTACGCTGCCGCGTCCGCTGCAAACGCTGTGTCGTGCATTGCAAGCGCTGTGATCGTGATCCAGTAACTTCGCCTTGAACCGCTTGTTCAGACGATCGCATTCGTCGCGCAGCGTCCAAATCTCACGCCGCAGCTGCTCATTCTCTCTTCGCAGGCGCTTGATATCCGATTGCCCTGAAAATAAAAAAGGGCAAAAGTTTTAAAGAATTTCTGTAATTTTTCCTTTATTTTGCCTTGAACTTTATAAATAAAAATTATTATATAATACACGTCTTGTAGCGTTTTGAGCTTAATTACTTTGCGCAGCCCTCGTAAAACCGTTAAATTAGAAAGAAAAGAAGAAAAGTCTCTCTATGAAAATCACTCTGTTTCTTAGGAAAGCCCCAAAATGTAAAAATAACTTGAGTACTCATACATATGTATATAAACAAATGTTTGTGTATAGTGTTTATATATGTACTTAAGTAAATGCCTCCAGATGCCAGATGATTGCTCAAAATGACTATTGCATTGAAGATTTGTACTGTAGAGCGTCTTGCCTGCTTTATGGAAGCGTTAATTTGTAGCAATAAATGTAAATTTGCTAAAATTATAAAAATTAATGAATATGTGTTTTAAAAATAATTTTAACAGTGTGTGATGGAATTATTGTTTATATGTTTCATCGCTCTGAGAGTTCTAAAAGATTTTTGAGGCAGAAGAAATTAATCATTTTGTCTTTAGAAATAGTACCGGATTTCCTTTGAATTAGCGGATATAAGAAGAATAAAAATATAATACAGAAAAGTTTATAGCAGAAAAATATATTGAACCAGCTACGCGTCGAAAGAATCATAGATTACAGGAGAGTTAAATTAAAGTTTCCATTTTCAAAGGCAACACGTAACCAACGGCGGTATTTTCCCTAGGACATGTTAGATCACTGACTGCAAGGTCTTCCAAAACACGCAATTGCACAACAACAAAACAGCTAAAAAACATGCTATTATAGAAAAATTATATTCTATAACCAAGCATATGTAAAGGGTAATTTTTAAGAGCTATAGGAAAGTTTATAAAAAAAAAAAAAAATTCAGAAAATTATATGAGCTTTTTACTTGAATCGATACCACGGTCCATATAATTTAATGTTGCAAATTATTTCAAGCAAATGTTGACCGTTAGTGCGGCATACAATTTTGTTCTCTAATGCGTCAATTGAAGTGGACTTGCCTGTATAGACATAAAATTCAACATATCCCCTCAAAATATGGTCTAAAGGAATTAAATCGCACGATCTAGGCGGCCAATTGACCTGTCCGGAAGGTGAAATATATTGTTCACCGAACTCGCCTCTCAATAACTCCACTGTTACGCGTGCTGTGTGGCATGTGGCACCGTCTTGTTGTTGTTGGGCAAAAAAATGAAATCCTTCTGGCTGATCTTCACTCCAAAATCGAAATTCTGCTTATTTACGCTCCCATAAAACCAAAAATGAGCCTCGAAGCGCTCGATGAACTTTCTCAACAAAGCACGCATTTTTATAATAAAATTCAATAACTTGCAAGCGCTGTTCGTTTGTAAGACGATTCATGTTTAAATTATAGACCAAACTGAAGATGTTTGACAGTGATACAAAACACAAAACGTGCGTCAGCTGGTTCGGCTCACACGACACATAGTGCGTAACGTTCAATATTCGGTCGACATAATCGGCCAGCATTGTCCTGAATTCGAGCAAACAATTAATCGGTTACGCAAGACATTTACTCTAGAGCGTAATGCGCATTCTTAGAGAGAGGCATGCAGTGCCCACCAAGGATGCTTTTGTGCTGTGAAGCAGAGTATAGAAGAAGAAGCGAATAAGTTTTTCCGTCAACCACTTTATAGAAGATTTTCCGGAAGGATCTCAGTTGGTTGGGTGGTCTTTTCAAGTGGTTGCTGGCCATCAGCTTACCCAAGCACCAAGTGGGCTCACTTTGATGCCACTGAGGATCCTAATGACCCCTACCCGCTAACGCCCCACATACATCGCTTGGGTGTTTGAGCAATAACCAGTGAATTGGCGATTTTCGAACAAACTTTCTCCATCGAGGAGGCACATTTCTGGCTCGGAAGGAGGATAAATAAGCAAAATTGTGACATTTCGGGCTCCGGAAAGATTCAAATAATTGAAGAGTGACTTACTGCGCGGTGCGCCATTTGGTCTCCTTTCAAAACGACAACGACAAGACTGTCACTGTCAATACGGATAATCGACTTTCTTTGGCCTGCAATATGGAAAAACTATTTGAACAATATGTGGTTGCAATGAGGTGGTGCCACATACAACACAAGACGAGCAAAAGCGAAAGAAATTTCCCGGTCGAGTAATCTCTCGTCGTGGCTATGTCAACTGACCAACGAGATCGTGCGATTTAACATCGTTTCACTGGTATTTTGTGGGGCTTTGCGAAAGAAAACCTTTACCTCTTGAGCACTGAAAACCAAAATTAGTCCAGTTATGGCTGCGATGCCACAAAATATGTGCCAAACAGTGAACGAAAATCCCCTCAAACGAATCGAAATTTGGAAACACTCACGAGGCGATCATTTGAGTCATGTAGTGTAGTATAATGCAGGATATACTGTCAAGGGGTTGAGAATGTACAATGATTAAGGTCGTTTAATGTGCATATAAAATTTTCAAATTACTCATTTTTTTTTTTACATATTTTCCAATGTATTTTATTTGATTGCTGACATAATTTGGCACAAATATTATTACAACTGACGACAGTTTGATGGCCTCCACAGTAAATATGCGTACATACATATGAAATGTATGTACATATGTATGGGACATTTTTGAGTATATTAATTAGTGCATAACTGACGCTTCCTTAAACTATATATATATATATATTAATATATGAATGGCTTGCAAACATATGTATATATATAATACATGTGTATATATTATTTTTTAGACACATGTACATTCTTATGTACGAATAAATAGTCTATACGTAGTTCAAATGTAAAAAAGTATGTAGAATTATGCTGCTATGTATATAGTATGTATATAAATTTCATTACTTTCAACTGTCAGCACAATAACAATAGAATAACGCAAATACTTTTCGCTGGCATTCATGAAAAAATAACAGCATTTGTGGTTTGTTTGAATATTTTACAAAAATAAATTTTCATAAATTATTTACAAAATACAATTACTACATTTATAGCAAAAAAAAAAGCACACTCACACACCCGCACACACAGGGTTTTCACTAATTATGTGCAAATTGAAAACTTTTCAAATAATAACAGCAAATTTTTAAACATAACATAACATATCCATTCCCACATATGCTTGCCAAAAAGCTATCATTTCTTAAATGTCAAAACTCAAAAATCACAAAAAAAAACGAACTAGAAAAAATCGAATAGAATGAACGCGCGTCTATACATAGTATAAAATGAACTGTCGATCGATCGTTCGTTCCATTTTGTATTAGTAATAAATGCACATATTTACGTATAAAATACTATATTAGAACTAAACACACACGTGCCACTTGCTTTTGCTTATTCGGTCGTTCGAACATATTTAAAAAGTCAACATTGACTGGTTAGACATTTTGCAGATTTTTCCGAATTTCACCAAAAAGTTTTTGTTGAATCACAAAAATTCATAAGCTTGTTAATATATTGCAATCGACTAGTGTTCGCATGTATGTGTATGCATTGTACATATGTATGTATGTATGTATGTATGTATATATGTATGTATGTATGTATATATATTCATTTGTGGGAGTAGTACAAACCCACCCAACCATTTTGGGAGTACAGCGTAATGCAGACGCCGAAAGGCATTCATCTGAGCAATCAGTGAGCACAAAAATGACAACCAAAAGAGTGTAATAAAGAAGAGAGTAAAAGGTTTCAGACTAAGTTAGAATTATATGAGTTCAATGTTTAAAGTACCCTATAAATGAAACCCAATTACCTCACAAATTGTAATCGTAAATTAGTAAGAGTTTCTGCTTTCTACTCCAAAAAAGTTATAAAAGATTATACTTTTCGCTATTTTGTCATTGAGTATTCACAGTAAAAATTTCCATATTACAGAGCTGGCTTAAAAAATATATCAGGACATGAAATCAGTGTATTTATAATTTTTTATACCCTTAGGAATTGACTTTTCTTTCAGAGGAGTGATCGCAAATAGAAAAATTGAAAAAACACCAGCAAATACTCTTTTCTCTTAGCTGTAGCGATTTTCGACCGAGAGCCTCTACACATTTTTGGTGTGCCTACTTATATATTTTAACAAGACGACCTTTCAAGTTTCAAGTGAGATATATTTAGGTTTATATATATTCGAGGTATATATGGAATAAAAATTAATTTTATATGTTAAATACATATTTATCATTATAAATTTTGATCTAGTCAGAAGTGGAACTATTTTTCCATTTTTCTATAGACGATACCCTCCTGCTCTGAAATCTTAGTATTACAAACAATTATTATATAAACTATTATTACATTATGTGCTTCTTAATAAGCGTGAGAACTATGAAAATGCAATCTTTGGGGTCTTTTTTGGCACATAAAGCTCATTTACATAAAACTGGCTTTGTTTTGCTCGACTGATGAAACTCTGGCTACAGAGCAAATCGAGAGTTTGTGGCATGATGAAAGCATCTAAGTTTCCAAAAATTACCAAATATTTAGTATTTTTTTGTGTAATAACTTTCTGAGAGTATTCGATGCAGTACCCGTCACTGAAAGCATAGTTAGAGGAAGACCTCCACTTCGATTGGCTTAGGGGCAGAGCGAGCGGGTTACACTAGGAATTGCCAAATGGCAGCAAACAGCAAAGAGAGGGAACGAACTTTGTAGAAAAAGTAAGAAAAAAGCAAATATTTTCTCTTATATAAAGTATTTAGCATAACTTTTATTCTTCTTTTAAGCTTAAAAATTCTTCATTGCATTAAAGAAGGCAAGCAAAGTCGATACTCGGGCTGGCTTTTGCTTCATCTCGCTTCTGCTCTCCTCAACCATGGAGAGATAATGCTTTTCCATAAAAATACAAACTTGGCTTATTCACCCTTATAGCTGTCAAAGCTTGACGCTGACATAAAGCAAGACGAATCTTTTATAGCTCGCTGGGATATTTCTTTGTGGTATGTATAATCGTGAGTATTTACACACTGGCGAAATTAAAATTTTTCATAAACGTCGACGGCAATTATGACACTGACAATATGCGAAAGATAAACACAACAACATTTGGCCTCAGAAACAAATAAGGGGAAAAGCGACGTACTAAAGCGATGGCGAAGGGAAGAGAATAACTATAGCTTCGATGAGCGAAAAACTTTGTCCGAAAATGAGTAAAAGAGCACGCGTTGCCTATCTAGAGCGCACTCTGAGCACAAATTTGCAACGCAGAGCGTATTTCAATACATGCTCAGCCTGCTCATGATCATGCAAGGAGAAAAATTTTATTTTTGGCAATACTATGAACATTAAAAAGAACTCAAAAATTGAAAACAGGCAAAAACATAAATATAATTAGTGCAAGAAAAAAAAGACTTAATTGAAAAATTAGTTTAATTTTTTCTTAAATAAAACTTGGTAGTTTGTTTATATCTATGATTTTGGCGGCGTGCGATCGACCATAGAGGCGTAATAAAATTAATTTATTTAATTTATACTTGTTTATCTATGTACACGTATTTGTTCTTGTTAATGGAAAAAAGCTCCATTTTAAATAAAACGAACAAAATGCTTTTTTTTTTTTGAGAGCACAAATTTATGTTCTTTACTTGTGTGCGCAAAATTTTGTTTATAATTTTAATTTTTTTATCTTGCGCATTATTTTTCAGGTGCGCGTTGCTCTACAGGGCACATCTGGCTATTTTGGTCGTCTAGACGTGAAATGTGTTGTTTATCTGTGAATGCTGAAGGAATTGCCCCACTGGAAAATGTACACAAATGTGAATTATGTAGTCCAAAATGGATTGAATAGAATAGCATTCAGGTTCTATAAGTCCATACATTTTGGAAAAAAAAAGAATATTTATTCTAAAGAAAATCTTTTTCTCTGTAAAATGCCGTAATCACAACGAAACAATGGAGTATGGGCAGTAAGAAATTCATACAAATTCCAACGATATTCACACTTCCTACAACCCCACTTTGCTGTGGATATAGAACCGGCTTTTTATATCCTCTACTGCCTTTCTCGATTCGGGTCGCCAACATTATATAGTATGGTAGTACCTCTGTGCACTACACAAGGCGCTGCTTAACTGCGGTCGTACAGATCATTCATGGGTTCAAGTATAAAACACTGCGCTATTTTAAAATTAGTGTTGTCAACGTTGTTAAGGCCCAAAATGCTCTTAACTATCGACAGGTTGAATTTTCTCGAACAAACCTCATTTACAGAGGGACTGGTGGGAATAGCATCACTTTGGAAAGAGCGCACTTAACTTTTTCATATAGTATAAGGATCGAAGCTTGAATGGTGTGGTTTTCTGTCAAGAACTAGCCAACAGCACAGAGTTTGAGTTTCCAAATCGTTTTAGTGATTTTCATTTTTTTTTTTTTTTTTTGCTCAAATAGACAAGCGCCTAATTTTGGCCAGGTTTCAATTATGGCGAGCTCTAAAATTGTGTGGTCACGCCTACCATCACTGTTTGCGGTGATTTTTCTTTTTTAAGATAAAAACTATAAAAAAAAATAGAACAGCTCTGATCGATAGCTCCAGTGAGTTCTGAATTTTTGTCGGTGCCCTACTGTCGAACTTTACTGGAGTGGATTATATATATTTGGAGACTCTGTAGAGCTAATGATTTGCTATATAAAAAGTCCAGGTAATATATATTTTTATAGAGAGCATCTTATATGTCTATGTATAATCCTGCGCTTTACTCTGACCTAACTTAATCTAATGAAAAATTGACTTGGCTAGAGCAAGTGTTTTCGCGTGCAGCTGGTCGCTTTCTATCATTTGTGTATTTTTGCAGCCGCAATAGCCGAGTGATTAGCATTGCGTACTGCCATTCTGAAGGACAAGATTGGAGTTCCGGTTTTACCTGCATCCAAAATTATAGAAAATAAGTTTTTATTATTACGATCATCTTTCGGAGCGAATGGCAAGCCTTTCGAGTGTATTTTTGACATGAAATAAAAACTTCCTCATAATAATCCATAGCCATCCGAAGACGGCATAAAATAAGACATAGCTCCCTCTATATCCAAATTGAAGTAAGAGCTCGAATTACAGACAGCAAGAGAACAACATTTCCTATAGATACTACTTCTAGCGGGAACTAAAGTCAGATTCTCACCTCTGTGACTGTCTGATTAGCCGCCAGGCGTTTTAATATAAATATCAGCCTACTATTTTATGATCGCTTGCATGCTAAATTAGTATTACTTATTATTTTTTTTATAAAAAAAAATTTACTAACAATCAGTTCACCCTGTGCACACATTTTTATATATAATATTATATTTTTTTTTTTAATTTTTTTATATTCTTTTTGACTGTGAAACTCACATACACACACATGTATTACTAATTAACAAAGGTAATTATTTTAAAATTATAAAAAAAATATAAAACTTAAGCAGCCAGTCAATTGTTTATCTGTAGTGCTTACGTCGTCTTGTTGCCAATTATAAAATTTGATTACTAAATTCTTTAGCTTTTTCTTCACCTCGTACATTTTTTCACGCTTTGTCACCGTCTGTTGTCTTTTTTTATAGAGGCCTCTAATAACTTATTTGTTTGTTTTTTGTTTGTTTGTTTCGTGGACTATGTTTATGTGCTTGTTTTCTATATGCGTATATATATGTAATTGCTAATTTATTCGCTCTTTATCTCTAAATAAAATCTTTATAAAAAGTATTTTTATATTTTGTAATAAAAGCGAAAGCATGTGGCAATCAAAATATTTTTTTCTTAATATTTCTGTTATATGTACGCTTACTGTAGATCAGAGATGCTCAAATAACGAAACGTTGTCATTTCGTTTTGTTAATATAAAAAATAAACTTAACGAAATGATGTTGTTTTGTTTCGGCGTTGAAAGCGCACAAACTAATCGGCAATTTCAAGTTTAACATGGACAGCACAAACAAATTTTAACATTCAACATAATCATTTAACGATTTAACATTATATGTTAACGATTTAAAATTAGCTGTTAACGATATCACATTATCTGTTAACGATTTAACATTATCTGTTAACGCATTAAAATTTTCTGTTAACGATTTTACATTATCTGTTAATGATTTAACATCTTCTGTTAACGATTTAACGTTTTCTGCTAACGAGTTTTCATTGTATGTCAACGCATTAACATTATCCGTTAACGATTTAACATTAACTGTTAACGCACTAACATTATATTTTACGAATTTAAAATTATCTGTTACCGATTTAACATTTTCTGTTAACGATTTTTCATTGTCTGTTAACGATTTACGGAGTTGTAGTTTGGTGACCAACCCTAGAGAAAAAATTAACCATCTCCAAATTCGATAGAGTGCAGAGGACAGCGCTCTTGTGTATTAATGGAACACTTCGCAGTACACAAATTGAGCTTGTGAATTTTCTTTTAAGTCTCTATTGACTTAATGAAGCTTGCACCGCGGGTACCTACAAAAGATTCCGTATACCAGAAAAAAACGAATTTCGAGATAGTTATCCACAATGATATAGGATAATGCCATTGGACTGAGTAGAGAATTGAAAAATTAAGTATTCTCTCGATGAATAAAAGCAAACTCTACAAGTCGCTCATCACCCGTCCCACTATACGGCGCAGAAACGTGGATGTTGTCAACATCCTTTGAGGTGGCCTTGGAAGTCTACGAGAGAAAAGTTTTTCAAATGATTTATGATCCTTTGCGTATTGGCGCCGGAGAATATCGCAGACGATGGAACCATGAGCTGTACACTTTATACGATGATATTGACACAGTTCAGGGAATGAAGAGACATCGGCCATGCTGGCGAGGTCATGTCGTCCGTACGGATGAAACCGATCCAGCTTTCAAAGTATTCGGTACCTGTAAGTGGAAGCAGAGTTACAGAAAGAAAGACCTTCACTCCGCTGGAAGTATTAGGTGGAGGGTGACTTGGTTTCATTAGGCATTTCCAGCTAGTACTAAATAGCGAAAAGAAGGGAAGAACGGCGTCTTATTGTATTATTGTGCCAATATAATTATTATTATTGTAAACGAAAAAAATATCGCTCCGAAAATAGGCGTTATTTGTTACCCGCTATTTCTTCGCTCCAAATATTGCTCAAATTTATGTATATTATTCGAACGATTCGGTTTAAGAGTACAAGGCCACGTATCAATTTTTCCAAAGAAAAAATCTACGGAACAGGTATATCCGAGTTTGAGCGATGAGGTGAGTTTAGTTGATGCGGCTGCTGATCAGTGATTAACGCTTTGAGACTCCTGTCTACACCTCCTCAAGCTTCGAATCATTTCGAGTGCCTTATAACATTAATGAGATTGCCAATTTTCGCTGAAGCTGGCTTAGTGAGATAATCAAAGAAGTGTTTCCCGAGGAACATCCCTGTCGCGAAAGGTGTCTATTTCTGCTTCCCTCCTACAGCTGCATAAATAATTTTTAGAGTAGTAACTCCTTCTCTTCCCATGAAAACCCATTAATCCGTGACCTGTTATTATGCCTGCTGTGCATTTAGCATATACTTCGCCGTGTACTAAGGTAAACCTGCACATTTTACTGCGGATGGATGGGTTGCCTCTGTCGATAGTTCGTCTACCAAGAAGTTTGGCTGGTATTTTGAGCGAAAAATTAGTGATCAACAGAAAATGACTATTTTCTGAACATTTAAGTGAAGCTCGAAAAACAATTATTAAAAAAGGAACAAACTAATAACATCCAATAAATAAGCATGAAGTTGGGATCCCTGATTAATAATAGCTATAAATGATATTTACCTCTTTCAACCTCAGCATTTATATTGATGGTACGCAGCCTCAGTTCTTCATTCTCATAGATCATGCCACGTGATGACTTTCGATCCAATCTGTAAGTGTGTATTAGACAATTAATTAATGCGATTGCAGAATTCTTCAGTTTTCATTGCATATAATGTGAGCACAACAATCAAATACGCTTACGAATTGTAACCATCCCATAAACTCCTCTTTCGCCACATTTACGTGCTATAACCAACAAAGTATGCAATATAATGCAATATAATAAATACAAATTTCACAGAAAAGTTCAGACAAGTTCACTCCCATATTAACTAACAATTTTTAATGAAAAATTATTCCATATTTTTCCAATTTAATTTTCACAAAAAATAATTGTTTTACACTTTTTCCCCATAACAGAAAGCTCAAAAAATAATATTGAATTTCATGGTATAATTTAATATAATAATATACATTTTCACATTGTTAAATAATATTTAATTCATTTCATTTACATATAATTTTCCATAAATGAACTCTTTAGTTTCGTTTGATTAACGCTTTTAATTCAATGCAATGTCAATCACTTTTCCATTGAAGAATTAATAGAGAGTTTCAAAAAAAAAAAATTAAAAATTGTAAAAAAAAACTGTTAATAATAATTATTATTGTAATATAACTGTGTTTAAGCTATGGCAGCCAGATTGTAGCAATTGAAGCCTCTCCTGAATTTTTTGTTGTTAAAATTAAAAACCATCCCAAATGACCCAGCGTCTTAAGCGATTGTTTCTCACCAAATTCCCTTCACTCATAATCTTGTTGATTTAATTAATTTAGTTAGGCATACTGTTATTCGAGCAAATATGGATCGGTTTCTAACGGCGTTTAATCTAGTCAATGATGCGCATTCTCGCTGAGTATCGAAGGAGTATCGAATTAGCGCAGCCGCAATTAATGCTTTGCTCAACCTCCGTAAGGAAGGTGAATGGACCCAAAACGAGATGATCAATAATACCAGTTCTCACAAGAAAATTTTGTTCGGCGATGAAACTAACTTTTGGTTGAATGGACACGTTAATAAAGAAAACTGCCGCATGTTACATACTCAAAAATCCACTATTTGGTGGGCTCTATGGGCAGAGGAAATCATTGGTATATATTTATGAAGCCGGTCGTATGTTACAGGCAGTGGGCTCTTTAGTACCTGAATGGGTGAGGAAGCAACCAATTTATGTTGAAGGAAACTACTGAGAATTTACTACCGAAATTTTTGGTGTTCAAACGCATTTGAAAGAAAATTGCGCAAGAAATTCTCGTCAAAATCACTCGCCTTTCAAAAAGTGTTTGGATCAATCGAGTTCTTTAAGCCGCCCTTTTTTATCGTACAAAACAACTCCCACTTATACTCGTCGAATGCTTTCAGCGGACAATATTGCTGCTGGAACTCGAAATGTTTTCGAACAGCCACCAACTTCAGCTCTCTCTCTCTCTTCAGCATGAAGGTTTATAAAGATGAATTGGTAGCATTGTAACCATTCAATGCGATTTTGCTTGCCTAAACAGGCAGAAAATTATCATTTGAGGCTCAGAAAATCCACACTTGATCATGAAATAGCCAATTCACTCCCAACGAGTGACTGTCATGTGGACCGAGGTCATTATTCGTTCGTTTTTTTATAGGAAAACACATAAAGAGCTGCCGTAAACGTCAGTGCCGATCGTTACTGTACCATGTTCAGAGATTATTTGTTTTCAAATATTGAAGATATTGAATAACATAGAGCTACTTGCTATACTGTAATCGGGAATCATATAACACGCTGAAAGTAGCGAATTTTCGGCACTTAGTGTTCTTCAGTTTCTTTACCGGTGACGCGGCTACGTTTTTATTTCTGAGTTACAGCGTACCATTCATTGCTTTTGTTCGCTGTTTGGTGTCAATTGAATATAGCGAAGTATAGGCAGGTCCTTCTCTACCTGGTCTTTCCAACGAAATGGAGGTCAACTCGACGCGTCGAGGACACTGGTTTTTCGATCTGAAGGTATTCAAGAATATTGATGAAATTTCTTGTGCCGGAATCTAATACTCTAGGTTGCCATATTTCGGCCTGCCATAATTCATTTGCGGATATTTTGTCTTTCAATTCGACATTTACTTTTAAGAGCTATCTGAAACATTGCCTCGTTGGGCGTATAAGAAAAAAATTCGCTTTTCCTACTGTCTGAGCTGTCAGTACTTATTAACACGCAATTAAATGCTGTCAAAGAAAAATCATTTCAGACAATACTTTTCCGGCACTGCCAAACTATTTAATTTATACCAGTTGCATGTTCAATTTGACATTCTACAAGTTGTGCTGAATCAAAGGCAGCAAATATCTCTAACGCATTGTTCAATAAACTTTGATTTTGACTTTGACATAGATCAACAGTTGCCGGCATAATAGTTTTATAGATCGTTCAGTATACAAAGCTTCATGCCAAACGATTTCATATTAGTGACTTTTTTATTTCAAATTAAATAAATTTAAATTATATTAGCCATCTTCGATTCGCCACTTCTCGCTCCGCTCTCTTTTTGAGAATTTTTTACGTGAAAGCAAATACAAAGTTACCCACTTAAATTGAACACACGAGAGTATGGCTCTCTAGCATAACTAAAGTGTTGCTTACAGATTTGCTTACAGATTTTATACCAGTTTGACATTTGTGAATGTTAAACTACTATAAAGTAAACAAAAAATTATTAATAGTATTTTAAATGACTGGAGGAGGTTGCATATTCATTTCGACACATAAATATTTAATTAATTATTTTTGTTATTTTTTATTTTCATTCGGTAAAAAATTTTACAGAAATCTGAAGCTGATCCCGTCGAGTTTCACCTTCAATTTGTTTGACCTCCAGTTTATTCTAAGCCGCCAGTTTATTCTAAGCCGCACCATCAGTCGTTCGGGATGGTTTTTTATGAGGACCATATTTTTTTTATATCAGAAGTACACTCGGAGAGGTAAACATACCCTGCCAAGGGGCGACCACAATGAGAAAAATGAAGTTTCTATAATTTTTGATTCAAGACTGAGACTCGACATGCGACTACCACTGCAAACAAAAGGACCGTTAAAAAGCCACATGTTACAGAATACAGAATGCCATCAGCAAAGAATGAAGCGTAATGCATATACGCATATGTGGGAAGACATGATGGCGCAAGACCTCACCATATGCTAACACTTTTTCGATGTAGTGGAAAATCTGCATATAAGTATTTTATTGTGATTCATCAACATCGTAATAGCGCTGGAAAACAAAATGCCCTCTTTGCTGTTTACGTATCAGCCGTCAGTGCCATGTCTTGTTGCTTATATAAAGGCAATGGAGGAGACTTTTGTATTTGTTTTCAATGAGCACATCTCAACTCTCGGCATTTTCAAAAACTAACCACTACCGACAGTCTACACAAAACATCACTGACTACAATTAAAAGCAATTTCTTACTAAATCAAGCCTCACGTTCTTCAGGGTTTATTTTTGTTTTTTTTTTTCGTTTCTAAAATATACTTTGTTTGTGCTGTGTTTTCAAGCAATGCATTAGGTGTCAGGTAAAACTAATTTGTGGCAACTCTTTTTATACCAGTTGCTTGTGCGACTCACTACTCTCTAAGTCATTTGGAAATGTTATCGTTAATTACCAAAATAAATTTTATTTCGCTTTTAACCGAAGCGAAAAGCTGTCGTTATTATATAACCTAGTTAACAGATAATGTTAAATCGTTAACAGATAATGTTAAATCGCTTGGCCAATCGAAGACGGCTGTTTTAAAGTTTTTCATCAATTTAGACTTGTTTAGTTTGATATTTAATTTTAGTTATTATGTCTTTGCTTTACTTTTCTTCTATTTATTTAATTTTCAGCATCTAGACACTCATGTACAGAGCTAAAAAATTACTTTAAAATTAAAGAAAAAAAAATTAAATATCTTTTAGCTTCTTAGATGCGCTCAGGTTGCACTTTTTCTACGTAAGAATTGCTTAGTTATAATTTTGTTAATTTAATTTTTTTTTTTGGTGTTTGCCTTTTATTTTTAAAATAGTCCCATTGACTTTTCCGAATCAGCATTATATCCATAAAAAACTGCTATTTTTACTGCTGTTGCTTTGTTTTTAAGAAATATCACGTTTTCACTAACTAACACTAGTGAATTCCAGCGGATTAGTATCGGCACTCTCATTTGGAATCCACTAAAAAAAAGCGAAAATCAACCGTGCTCCAGCGGATTCTGTAAGTAGACTAAATAGGCTACCAATTCTGAAATTGAAGATTAGTGTTGTTATTATTATTATTATTATTATGTTGTATTTTTGTTGTTATTTTTCTTTTTCATTCGTTGTTTTGCCAATGTGTTTGTTTTTGTTGCACGTCTGATTTTTATTGCTGTCTTCCGCTACTTTTCCACTTGTTTACCATATTGTTGTTGCTATTTGCTATTGTTGTTTTTGCTGCCAATAATTATCATCAACATTTAATTTGCCAACGCTTTAACAACGTTTAGTTGCGTACATTTGGCAAAAAAAAAAAAAAAAAACAGAAAATAGAAAATAAAAAAATTAAAAATTGAAAAATAAAAAATAAATCGAAATATACGTACGTACGCACATACATGTGTATGTAAACATATGTGTGAGTGTGTGCAAACAAAAATTTTTGTAGTATAAATAAAAATAAAAAACCAACAACAACAACAAGAAAACAAAATTTTGAATAACCAAGCCCAAGGTATTTCAAAGTGGAAAGGAAAATGTGAAAGAATTGTGCTTTGCGTTAACACCAAATGGCGACGATCGAAAGGCCGCCGAGAATGGCTAACCACCACCGAACATGCGTTGAACATAATTCACTGCCACCTTATTTTGGAATGACGCTTGAGGTATGTGTACACACACGTGTATATGTATGTGTATTATATGTATGTGTAGCTAAGCGTAGAAGCGCTGAAAAGTATTCCCTTGCTTCCTACTCAATTAATTGCCAACTAAATCGCAATCGGCTCAACGCAAAATGACTTAACAGCATAATTTATATGAGAAACATAAAAAGTGGCTACA